CAGATATATTTGGGTTATCTCTTATTCCTTGTAGGAATGGCTCCATGGTAAGGATGAATAGGAGTGGGGAGAGGGGACAGCCTTGCCTTGTACCATTGGTTATTTGTATAGTGTCTGATAACTGGCCGTTCACTCGTATTCGTGCTCCCGGATTCGAATATATGGCTGCAAGCCACTCCATCCATTGTGGCCTTGAGGAAGGACCAGTCTACCCTATCAAAAGCCTTCTCGGCATCTATAGTTAAAATGAGACTCTGGGGTCCTTCTCCTTTGGCTGTGTGTATTAAGCTTAGGAGTTTCGTAGTATTGTGCTTAGCCTCCCTGCTTGGTACAAACCCTGACTGATCCAGGTGTATCAGTCCATTCAGGAGTGGTTTAAGACGGTTGGCAAGAATCTTAGTAAAGATTTTCAAGTCACAATTTATTAGAGAAATTGGGCGGTAGCTCCCACATTCTTCTGGGTCCTTTCCTGGTTTGGGAATCAGTGTGATGTGGGCTTCTAGGGATTCTACTGGGAGTTTGTGTCCTAAGACAAGTGAGTTGAAGGCAGCGACAAAGGGTTTGCAAAGCAGGTTTGTAAAGGTTTTGTAATATTTGGTAGTGTAGCCATCGGGTCCTGGGCTCTTGCCTATAGGGAGGTTTTTAACTACCACTCTAAATTCTTCATCCGTCAGGGGCCCTTCAACTGACTGTCTTATGTTTGTGGGGATCGTTTGTGTGATCCGCTTAGAGAGGAAATGCGTGATGTCTTGGTTGGAAGTAGGTGAGTGCGTGTCCCATCTCTTTGTTTGATTGTAGTTATGTATGTGCGTTGTGTGCTCTGTTGAAGGGCTTTGGCTAGCATTTGCCCGCATTTTCCTCCTTGAGTGTAAAAGGAGTATTTGGTGTGTGTGAGCATTTTTTTGATTTTGGAATTTAACAAGGTCTGTAGGGTCGTGCGTTTGTCAACTAGCTGTTTGTATAGGTCTAGAGAAAGGTTGTTTTTGTGCGTCTGTTCAATTTGGCAGATATCTCGCAAGAGGTCAGTGATTTGAGCATCTTTCTTTTTCTTAAGTTTGGAGGCTATAGCTATGATGTGTCCTCTCATTATGATTTATGGGCTTCCCAGGTTATTGTCGGGGATATGGACGGGGAGGTATTGTCCTCAAAGTAGTGTTTTAATGTGGTTGTAAGTGTATCGACCGTGGCTGAGTCATTTAGCATGGTATCATTTAGTTTCCATTGGAAATTGTTAGGTGTCAGAGTTGGGATTTGAAAAACTAGAGACAAGGGGGCATGGTCCGACCATGTGATCGAGCCATACTCACATGATTGAATTAAGTGTATATGTCTGTGTGGGACGAATAGCATGTCCAGTCGAGAGTATGTGTGTTTGACCATTGAATAAAAAGAGTAATCTCGTCTTTGTGGGTGTATAGTTCTCCAGCAGTCGAACAGATGAGATTTATCTAATAGTTTGGACATCGTGGTTCGGGTATTGGCGTTGTATTTCATGGAGCTGGAAGTGGTGTCTAATTCCGAGTCAAGGGACATGTTTAGATCACCTCCCAGTATTAGAATGCCTTCGACATGTTTTTCGATTATGTTGAGGTATTTACGTAGGTGCTTGTTTTGTTTGGTATTTGGCAAGTAGACATTTGCGAAGGTTACAATTGTGTTGCCAATTTTGCCTTTGATTATAAGTAGCCTACCGCTTGGGTCTGTGTATTGGTTCGTGTGAGTATACGGTGTATGTGCCCCTATGAGGATGGCTACCCCTCTGGATTTTGCGTCTGTATAGGAGCTGAAATATCCTGTGGGGTAGTGTCTGTTGCGGATAGTAATAGTGGAATCTGGCTTCAGGTGGGTCTCTTGGAGAAATGCCACATCAGCTCTAAGTTTGTGGAGTTCGTGGAGCGTTAGTGATCGTTTTGTCGGGGAGTTGAGACCCCTGACATTGAGGGTGACTATATTGAGGTTTGCCATGGTAGAAAGTGTGTGAACTGCGTGTTCTGTCACTCACGTACTGTGTACTAGGGAAAAATAACCGATAACAAATAAACTATGTACAAAATTGTATGTATGCAGGTGGAGCAAGAAATTGAGGCGTTTGGGATTGACGGAAAGAGTTGACAGCCTTGTCAGTTGGTGGATTTCCCTTGAGAGGCTCTGAAGCCTTTGGGGAGTTGCACGGGCACCGCATTGGCTGTGTATGTCTTTCCACCTGCTGTCAAGGCTTTACTTTCGTGAAATGGGGTAAGGTGGGGTGTTGTTGCCAAGTGTCTCACGAGAGACGGGCAATCCTATGAGAGATTGTCAATAGTGGGTGGTGGATCAGGCTAGGAGATCATATTGGTGGGACTAGTAAAATTGCGTGCTCATGGTGGGAATCAACCTTAGGAGCTATAATCCAGGGGGGGGATGGAAGCTGCCAGCCCCTACCTGATTGTCTAATAGTTTAGGGGTAGGCATTATTTGTCCTAGTGGGCGAGGGCTCTGCCTCGTAGTTGGAGGTTTGCTTGCTCGGATGTACACTAGGACTGTTGTATGAGACAGATTTTTTCCCTTTCATATGCAATTTTCCCAGAAAACAGAAAACAGACAATTAATTGACATATTATGCTATACGTTTCCCAGTAATACAGTCAATCAGATTTCAGTTGACCAAAGGAGGGTTAGGTTATCGGGGGGGGGGGGGTATGGGATGGTTGAGGGGATGAGGGGGGGCCGTATGCTTGTCAACATAGCCCTTACGTATACATTCATCTGTGGTATAACATACATATTTCATACCCCTCTGAAGCATCATTGCCCGTGCTCCTGCATGTCCTCGTCCCTGAAGGTAAAGTTCGGTCTTTCAGTCCAGAATCAATGTTATCCCGGGATTTCGGTAGAGTGGAGAGTTACAGCTTCATAAAGCCTGTGGTCCGGAACAAACCTAGATTACTGTGGGAAATGACTTGGTTTGTAGGTTTCCTTGTGATGTTCATGTATCGTGTCCCTAGGGTGGGGTTTTGCGTTGCAATCTCTGTGGTCGAATCTCTGGATCGTTGGTAGTTGTTTTAGGTCTTTAAAGCTTAGTTGAGTCCTTGTTGTTTAGGGCAGCCGTTTTTTTAGCTGGTGATCATCGTCACATGCCTTGGGTCCCATCAGTGGGCCTGCTCTCAGTCTGGAACCTCCTTGGTGGTGTGTTTGGTCGTTTCTTCTACGTTTGGATGGGGTCTGACCTCTTTGCTTGTGGGTCATTTGTGTGCATTGTGAGGGTTGTAGCGGCCCATACCAGTCTGGTATGTGTACGTCCGGTAGATTTAAGGCAGAGGTGAAGACCTGCACGTCCTCTGCGGAGGATAGAGTTGTTGTAATATCATTATGTGTAGCTGTAAGGGCCAAGGGGAATCCCCAACGGTATCTTATGTTCCTAGAGCGTAGTAGATCTGTGAGAGGTTTCATTATCCTCCTCGCCTGTAGCGTCATCCAGGAGAGATCTGGGAAGATCTGCACAGGTGCCCCATGGAATAGAAGAGGTTGCATTGTCTGGCGGAGATTTCTGAGTATGTCTTCTTTAAGAGAGTAGTAATGTAGTCTGCATACTACGTCTCTGGGCACTTCTGCCGTGGGGTTTCTGGGCCTGAGCGCCCTGTGGGCTCTGTCCAGTATAATTGGAGTCGACACTTCTCTTTGAAGTATAAGATTAAATAGTTCTTGGAGGGTTACCTTTAAATCTTCCCCCTCTTTTTCCAGGATGCCCTTAATTCTTAAATTATTTCTGCGCCCTCTATTATCTAAGTCATTTATCATTCTGTACATGGATGCCATTTGGGCATTATGTGCTAACAGTGTACTTTTAAGATTTTGCATTTGTGTGACCGTATAGTGTTGGTCGCTTTCTAGCAAATTGACCTGTGTTACTTCTGATGAGATGTCGTCCATTTTTTTCTGGAAAGTCACCTCCAGTTTTTGAAGCATGGTTGCGAGGTCTTGTTTAGAGGGGAGATTTCTTAGGATCTCCCTCAGGTCCCTGTCTTTTTCCCTGTCCAGGTCCTGTTACAGTGTTTCAGATGCTGCAGGGCTGGCGGGGGGGTGATTGGGAGAGTTCCGTGTGTTCCTCTGGCGCCATATTGGGGCCTGCAGAGTCAGTCTGTTGATCGCCGTGATCTTTAAAATATTTGGTGAGCGCTCACGTTTTCGGCCCATATTGTTTGCCTGCTTGTTGGGAGGTAGTGGACATTCTTTTGGGGTGTCCCATTTTGCTGAGTGTGCCTGATGGCTATGGATTGCCCGTCGTTGCAGTCGGAGCTCCGTTAACAAGCGGCCATTCACGATCGCGGCTAGCTCTGCCCCTCACCTTTTCTGTTTTTTACTTTAAAAATTATTATTTTTTACACACTACTCTTAGGGTTGCCACCTGGCCGGTATTTATTTGATGCTGCCTGGCCAGTGCCGATATTGCAGTAATACCAGCAATACAAATGCCGGTATTTTTCTCAGTTTAAACAGATTACTCTGCATTACCAGCACCGGCCAGTAGGGGTCGCTGTGT